GTGCCTACCTCCAAAAATTCGATGGCAGCAAGGCTAGAGGGCGACCGAGAAAGACCTGGATAGATAGAGTCAGGGAAACATTAAACACCCACAGCATTCCCCTGACCCAAACTCTCCGGCTGGCGACAGAGAGACGTCTCTTTCTTCCCGCGACACCCAAAAGGGTATAAGCGGCGGATAAGGTAAGCGTAAAGTAAAGTTTCCTAATGACACTGTGGAAGAAGATCTTCCGACCTGTCCCAGATGACCCGTTGTCTCCTCGACAATGGGCGGTCGCCTTGGACAGGTCCGATTGTACTTTATCACTCAAGTTTCATAGACCTTGCCTCATTAATAATAATAAATAGCATTTGTATAGCGCATATCCCTGCTTAACAGCAGGCTCTATGCGCTTTACTCTATATTATTATCCCAGCAGACTATAGAACACTCCGAAACATTCTCAGCTTCCCGGGAAGCATACAGTGCAAGCAGCTGATTATGCGCTAAAACACTAACAAACTGACAAGATCTTTCGCTGTCCATAGCCGGGTACCCATCCCCACCTGGGTGAAGTGAGGAAAATTCGTGTAAAGTGCCTTTCCCAAGGACACAACGTCGGGTCCCTGCCAGGATTCGAACCCACGACCTTACGGTTGCGAGTCCGAAAGCCTAACCACTAGGCCACCGATGCCACACATTAACATGAGCTCATTGGATGAGTCGAAAGCTGAACATGAAGCAGATAAAGAGTTTCCTTGAACGTAATGTTGTCATGTATGCTTCAAGCTAAACAACTTGAAACTGAGAGAAACGGCGTGACGGTATTTTGATTACTTACAGAATATATGTAAGGCAGAGTGGTGGAATCAGCCTCTCGTCAAAATAATCAAGGTGAAGAAACTTGCAATTTTCTTCAGATTTTGGAATTTTTATCAAATTTTTGTTTTTTTGGCTCAAAACCTTTCATGCCCATTAAAAAACTCATTTATGTGTGGATTTTTCTGGAAAACGTAGCTGTAAGGCACAAGATATGTAGATTTTCAGTTACACGGACTCTAAAGCTAAAGAAATAACTAATCTTTGGCAGCCATTTTCTCACTAATTTTACCTCTGAAAACAGGCGACCCACACCTCCTTCATTCGCAAATATCCCGACTTGTATTCAAGATAAATGGATATTTTTTTCATCCAAATAAAGACAAGGGAACAAGCTTCAAGATGATACCAATAACTTTACATGCCCCAAAATTGACGAGAGCCTGATTCCACCACGCTGCCTCACATTTAACACACTCATGAACGCTGCAGAAACGGGACCTCTGAATTCGACGCCTGTCTTCCACATTCTCAGACGTGTAAGTGAAGAGCTTTGAACATTCCAGAAACAACCCAAAACCAAGAACACACAGTCGTGGATTGTGGGTGGTTGGAGGGTGCTCTGGTGAAGCTTGTTTCTTTTTTCTATGTAAACATCTATTGTTCGTAACCCTCCTCTTTCTTATTGAATTTGTAACTCTCCTGTAACACCTCTAATCTAATATTAGGTACGTATAATGACCTAATTGTGTTGCAAATGCCGTAAAACGTTCACTAAAACATCACTAAAACAGACGTGGATTCGACCCCCGGCCATTTGCACTGTCAGTTTTACTATGCTTTGCTTTTCTTTGTTTTACATTACTTAACTTTACTTTACTTTACTTTAATTCACATTGCGTCACTTAACTTTACTTTACTTTACTTTACTTTAATTCACATTGCGTCACTTAACTTTACTTTACTTTACTTTACTTTACTTTAATTCACATTGCGACACTTTGCTTTACTTTGCTTTGCTTTACTTTGCTTTACTTTGCTTTGCTTTACTTTGCTTTACCTCACTTTGCTTTACTTTGCTTCACTGTGCTTCACTTTGCTTTACTTCTTTTCGGGTGGCGTAGGTAGTTTAGTGGTTAGGCTACCAGACGCGTAATTGTGAGGTTGCGGCTTCTGGGGTTCGAGCCTCAACTCGGTCCGACGTTGTGTCCTTGGGAAAGGCTCTTTACACGAATTTCCCACTTGGCTCGGTCCTTTTGGAGATGGTAGTTAAATTCGGAGGTCCTGCCTCTTATATAACCTAACAGTGTTGATGAACTTATACCGTCTCACCATGTTCACCCTCTTCTCTTATGGTTAGATACCGCTGGGATATGCAGTATTTTTGGTGAAGGGCTAGGTAGGAAAAATGACTGTTGTAGTAGATATGTTACTCTGTTCGGCGTCCTCTTTAACTTTCACACCATCTAGTCAAGCTTTTTTTTTCGTGGCGTACCCCATGGACAGCTAGAAAAACAAATGAACAAGTCTTGGTTGAAGTATATTGCAGACAACACCTTAAGATGAACATACGAAAGCGACAGGCAAAGTTCATTGGACACACAATGTGGAAAGAAGTATTGGATGGAGAGTATTGTAACAACAGCCAAGTTTGATGTAAAGAAAGGCAGAGGCAGACAGACGGAAAAGATACTGGACAAGTTGACAACATGGCTGGGAGCAGCAAAAACGACAGACACCATCGCTGCCATGCACGACAGAGTGAAGTGGAGGTCCATGATCGCCCACGCCAGTCGGCAAGGCACCGGGTGATGATGATGATGATGATGATGATGATGATGATGATGATGATGATGATGATGATGATGATGATGATGATGATGATGATGATGATGATGAAGATGAAGA